GTTCTGTTTGTGTTGCCAGTTAGTTTGATGTCTTCTTTTATTTCCACTGTATCTTTTTCAGTAAGACAAGAAACCCACAATTTACTATGAGTGAAAACATGCCTTCAACTGGAAATAGTGTTTTCCACAGCAATCTCCATTACCTGCTCAATGAATCTGGTATCATACTTGGATTTAGTACTACCACTGCATGCTCAGCAGACATGGGCTAACTAATGCTTTGTTTTCATTTATTCAGCCTCTGAACTTGTCCCTGCTTGTAAGGGAGAAAGCAGTACAAGTAAGCTTGCCCTGAAGGTTAACAGTTTCAGGCTTTGGTCAGTCAAGGTAGGAAGGAATTTTACACCTCTCCTCCACCAAAATGCTTTTCTTCTCATGCCCTGCTATCTAGACATAGAAACAGATCAATATAACTGTGTACCAAATGACACAGCAGTGCTCAAGGTCAGAGATGGCATCTCAGGGAACTGCAACTCATATCAGATAGATTAAAAGTAGTGCCCTGAATTGCAAGTGGATAGAGGAGGTCTTATAAGGTATCAGTCAGCCTCACTCACAAAAAAAAGAGAGTGGAAAGCAAGTTTTTGATTTTAAGAGGATAAAACGCCTCCAGAAGTTCATCAAGGGATTTCCACTGAATTTCTACACTGAAGTATTTGGTTTTCCTGTGGACCTGCTGGTGTTCCAACATATCCTAGAGGCTACACCGTAAAAGCTTGTTGCTTTTCTCACTTTTGCTTCAACCAGCATGTTATATATGGAGTTCGTCAGTCTGCAGCAGGAAATAACGCAGTCCTCCCAAGGCACCGCAGCCAACAGTACCCTACAGCTGGGGCCAGATTTCAAAGATCTAAATGGGGAAACAATTATAACTGAAGAAATCCTGACTGTCTTTCTCAAACCAGTTCAAAACATTTGCATTTCCAAACAACACAAACCAAAAGGACTTGTTTTGTAGTTAAAAACTGTCATACAAAAGATTATGAGTGATACAAGGACCGCTGCAAGCCAATAATTACTAAGACTTGTGAACTCTAGGGAATTAATGATTGCTAGAGGGTGTTCAAAGCCAAAGATGGAGACAAGATCAGTCATTACAGACATAGGAAAACACTGGACAAGGGAATTATTTCTGACACAGTTCATTTGTGACCTGGTGGAACACCACAACCAGTTTCACATTTCTCAAACTAATGTCCTAAACTTTTTCTTGGTAGGGGGCCACAGGGGAGAGGTCTACAAGTGCAGCTCTGCCAGAAAACAGTCACTATAGCAGATTGCTTCATGCCTTCTTTTTTTGCAATGACAAATATAACAAGGAGTGTTAGTTTAGCATAAAGAGGGCAGGGAGGCTCCATTTATTATCCCTAAATCTCATAGCAGAGGCAGGTCAGAGAATAGAAGGAAATCAGAGGTCCTTAGACTCTGCTGCCCTCATGTTGCCTTAATGTCCCTGAACACAGGGAGCCAAAGACCTCCTTGGCATAGGCCCAGTAAGTGTTTCATGTTATTCCAAAGATGGATTTGGCTCAGAGAAGTTTCATTTGTTATGAGTTGCAGTGGAGTTTTTTTCTTCTTCTTTTTTTTTTTTTTTTAGCATACTTCATTTATGTCCATGTCTTTGATGCTTTCCAGAGCAGCTCTCTTCTCATTGTCAGCTTCAGTTAAGGATTTCCTGGGACTATGTGACTTCTCCTTGAATGCCTGCAGCAGGCCTGTGCTACCGCTGATCCTGGCTATCACTCATAGAAATTTTATTCCATTTTCTGAACTTAAAATTGGAAAATATATTGGAAATGAATGACTGACAATTTGGGGATAAAAATTAGGAATCATTTATATTTCTGGAAGTTTTCTGAAAAGATATCTGTATATTGCTCCTACAAACATGTACATGTCCCCACCAGCAAAGTCATGACAGCGCAGGGTGACTTCATACCCCCCTCTATTTTAGGTAGTCAAAGGGGCAAGGTTAAGACAGTGTGATAACTCTGGTGCAGACTGAGAACTAAATTCTAACTTAAAGTGAAATTGCTTAAATTAAAAATCAACACTAAACAAATCATAGCAGGCGTTAGCATTGTCCAGGTGACTGATTGTCAGAGTGTTTTAATCTCTTTCCAGTTTTCTAGAAATTAAACTAAAGCAAATTAAACACCTCCAAGCTTGGTCAGCAGTTGCCTGCAGTGATGCTTGTGGTTTACGCTGGAGCAGCTTAGGGTGAGCTTTCTTCCACTTTCCATGTGGGGATTCATCATCTTGTGTCAATGCGAATAGGTCAGTATCCATACCTTATTGATGAAGGCCATTGTGGTCTCCTCTCTGAGGAGGCAGATCCTTTTCCCTGTCCCTTTCTACTCGGAAACAGCCAAGCAAGGAGAGCACTGGCATTGCCTTTGGGAGCTCTGCCCTCCTTTATTCCTCCTGTGTAGAGGAATTAATAGTTTGAGCCCTGTCTTGTCCTTGGACATGTGTACTGGGTCATTGGCAGCTAGGTAGCTTCTCAGCACTGCTAGCTGATCCCAGTGGTGTCAACTAGGAACAAAGCATATTTCTGATACCGGAGGCATAAGTCTGCACATAACTACTACAATCAGAAAGATATTATACCTGGTTTTGGCTGCAACTAGACTTGAACCTCAGTTTTTATCAAGAGAAGATCAATGTTAGAGCTTGCATGTAATGGTGCTACTGCTCTTGGCTGGCAGAAGACACCAATAATCTCTGCTGCTTGTTGAGCTAATTCATTTGTCACTCCTCATTAGCTTAAATGACTTTTACTGCTAGTGTTGTTTTTAAGGCTTAGGATAAGAAATACATATGGTTTTGCTGTTTAGGACCAGCCCATTTCCATATGTTTTCTAGCTCTTCTTGAAGGATGTAATTGTTACCAGTGGAGAAATCTGCAAGTCTCTTCATAATTACAGTAAATAACCTGCTCTGTAGTCTATAAGCTCAAACAGTATTTTTCATCTTCAGATTAAAAATGTAGCAGAAAACCTCATGGCTATGGAGAACGAAAATGGAAGTGACGTAAAAAGCATGCCTGAAATCAAGACACATTTGCTATCTCATCACTTACAGCCTGCTCTGGCTTAAGATGTCTTACTTAAAATCTATTCTCGTTTTTTCCTTGTGCTGTCCAATCAGAACAAAAGAAAATCTCAAATGGTTTTAAATGTTAAGACCATGATCTTCAATGCTGGCTCTGTTGCTAGAAGTTAAATTCTTACCCAATCCGTTAAAGAGCACTGGTTTCCCATGTCATATCTAGTTTTGATCATAGCAGAGAAATGGGAAACAATAAAAACAGACATAATGTGAAACAGATTTTTAGCTTTCTGCTTGATTTTTTTTTTGCATTGGTTTTTCACTTTTGCAAATATCTGTGTAAGAGTTAACTTGATGCTCTGCAAAAGAAAGACCTTTTTTTGTCTCAGTTCCTGTTGGAAAACCTTGCCTTTAAAACAAGATGCTATATAAATAGCAGTATGCTGTAAGAGCGCTGATGCAGACTGGGTGGCTAAAGTTCCCTGTGGTGGCTGGTGATATTTCAAAGGAAGACTTATAAAGCTTGTGAGCAGATCCATTTCTAAACAGACTGGATGAAGTCTATCCCGGAAAAGCT